GGGGGGGGGAGCCACTCTGATGGGCTGGGGAGGCAAGGGCTGTGGTGGCAGACAATCCACCCCACCAGAGTGTTGCAGATGAGCAACACCCTGTGGCCCCCAGAACCAGCCAGGTGATGAACCAGCATGATGCTGAAAAAGGAAAACCCAAACTAACGCCAAGGTGAGCATTGGAAAGCAGGGCCGCACTGGGCAGCGAGCAGAAGGGCAGAGGTGAACAGGGGCAGACAGGGTGGTGGGCAGGTGGTGGTGGTCACTCCTCGCGTAGCTGCAGGCGGTAGCGGTGGTAGCGGACCTGGAAGAAGAGGCGCTCGGCCAGCGAGAGGGTCATGCCAGGCAGCACGTAGTGATCACTTGCGCCCATGTGTCTGAAGCCCAGTGACTCATAGAGCTTGTGGGCGGCCACCTTAACAGCTGTGGTGCCCAGTACCACTGCAGAGTAGTTGTGCAACATGGCAAACTCCAGCACCCTCCGACCCAGAGCCTTGGCAATGCCTTTGCCACGGAAGCGTGAGTCCACGGACATGCGGAGCAGCTCCACCGTGTTGTCCTCCTCATGGGCCCGTGCGGCCACGATGCCCACAACGTTGCCATCCAGCACAGCCACCCAGAAACAGGAACCTATGAAGGACATGACAGTCAGGGACATATGGAGTGACTTCATAGCTGCCCATTCCAGCTGGGCACCAAGTCAGGGTATCACAATGATGCCCAATTCTCCAGTACCCTGGCCCTCCTTTCAGCTCTTTTGGACACCATGAGAGGATGAGCAGAAAAGCTGCCTCCTCCAGACCTCCATGAGCAGCAAAATCATTTCAACAGCCTTAGTCCAGGCTAACCTGCCCAGCTTTGCATGACTGGATCCCAAGACACAGGCAGACACAATCAACTCCAGCCTGAGTCTATACTGTCCTGGCCAGAATAGCAGTTGGGAGGTGCATAGGAGATAGGTAGGCCTTGATGAAGCAGATTCCTACCCCAAGACCACCTGAAAAACACAGGCAACCACAGCCAAGACCTCTCAGGACCAGCTAACCTACTCAGAATCCCAACCCGGGCCTGCCATCCTCCTCCTCCAGGATCCTTGCAGGGATAGAAACCAGAAGAATGTTTTATAAATACCAGTGAGAGACCACAGACAGCCAGACACCTGTAAAGCCCAGAGACCCAGCCTCTACTGGACAATGAGCCTGATGCCCAGGCCAGCCACCCCCACCTATAGCAAAGCCAATCCCAGCCTCACTCCTACAAGGGGAAAGGAGGGAATAAGGAGTTGGGATGGGAAGGGTGTTGAAGGGCACAGGCCACTGGGAACCCAGTCACCTTCGGGAACCAGAGGTCCACAGTCAAGGGGATACCGAGAGACCCTTCTAAAAGACAAAGGCTGAGTGACAATAAGGAAAGTGTCTGGTTGGCCAAGAGAGTGCCTATGCTGTGGGATCTGGCCTTCCCCTCAAAGGACCAAACTTCCCCCCAAAGGCTCTAAACCTGTACTTGCCCCCACCAGGAAGTAGGACACAACCCTACCTTTATTTCTCACCTCCTGGGAGCTGGAGGAGCCCAGCTCCTTCATTGCAGACTGAGCTCTATAGCTGAGAGTGCTGCCAGCCCACCAGTGTAGCAGAGACAGCAGTAGTTCAGGAGGGCCCTCATCCCACCCTGAGGGGAGCCTACCAGCCACTCTTACCAATACCCCACACCCACCCACACAAGCCAGACAGAGGTCAGGCCAGCCTCCAGAGTGAGTGTGTTGTAACTCTCCCCAGGTCTTGTTTCCACATTTGCCTAAGAACTCTCATAGCCTGGCGGTGGTGGCACACGCCTTTAATCCCAGCACTCGGGAGGCAGAGGCAGGTGGATCTCTGTGAGTTCAAGGCCAGCCTGGTCTGCAGAGCGAGTTCCAGGAAAGTCTCCAAAACAATACAGAGAAACCTTGTCTTGAAGGAAAAAAAAAAAAATCCACACAGTCCCCATTTGCTCTTGTGGGGTCCTATAAACCCAGCAGATGTCCAAGAGTTAGCAAAGATTGCCATACTCTAACCCCTGGGGGGGGCTACAGCTCAGACAGGGCACACAACAGGACCTCTGGCCACACCCATGCCATCTACCCAATCCCACTTCAGCCATTTCCCCTTTCTCCTCCCAAGCAATGCCAGTTAGGTGGAGGGTCCTGCAGGGGCCGGGAAGCTATACTTGAATGTGAAGAAGGGCCAAGGAGAACAGCAGGCACCAAGGCCAGCTGGGTAGGAGGTTTGCTTCAGGGCTTGTTTGGGGGAGAGGCCAGTTTCCCAGTCCCTCTTCCTACAGAAAGCCCTGGGATCTGAAGTGATAACTTATTGTAAATAGAGTTCTTAATACACCTAAATAAAGTAAGATATCATCACACCTTATGGCTCACTTGGCGGTTCACTTGGTCAGGATGCCAAGGATAAGGCGGGGACCCCTGCCCACTCTGCTCCCTGGGACCTCCCCGTATGCCACACAGGCTTCCTCCACCCAAGGCACTCTGGGCTGACTCAGGATCCAGCCAGGACTTAACTCTCCAACACACATACACAAGACAGGTACCAGGAAATGATATCCAACAACGGGCACAGTGGAGACAGACCACCAAGGAAAGGACTTGGCTCTGGCCTCCCCAGCTGACACTCCACACTTAAAGAACTCAATCATTCAGAAGGCTCAGACATCAGGATCCTCCAGCCCAGGCCCACCTGTACCTGAAGGAGAAGAGGGAGGGGGTGGGCAGAGCTGGAACTCCAGAACTCACCAGGTGGCTTCATGTAGTACTGCTCAATGTCAGCCATGTCCGTGTGCAGCGCACACTCCAGGTAGGCCAGAATCACCTTTCGACTGTAGTAGTAGCGTAGGGCCAGGAGCCCGACTGGCACCAGGCATGTCAGCAGCAGTGAGCGGGTCACAGCAAAACAGAGGGCTGCAGGCAAGGGGTCACAGGTGAGGAGGCAGGTGCAGAGAGGCACCGAGCCAGACTGGACATGGGTGGGCCCCACAGCACCCGGAGTCCAAACCTCCTGGTAAATCAGTGCTTAGGGATGCGCCCCACCAGGGACTGTTTCTCTGTGTAGGTGCAGTCATGGCCTCTCTATGCTTCCTCATTTCCAAGCTCTCTGTCGTAAACACCTGCTACCTTCACAACCTGAAACAAAGGTCCACAATACAGCCTAGGCCAGGCCAGCGCTGCTCAGCCCTTGGTGCCCCAGTTTCCAAAAGGGCTCTTGCCTACCCCTTCTAGCCTGGTGCTAAGTCAGAGAGCTGGGCAGACACACCAGGGCACTGCCTAACCAAACAGGTCATCCATCACTCGGATGTGAAGGGACCCAGTCAGAGCCATCCCTGGGCAGCTTCTAGGCCCACAGGGTCAGATGACGAGAGCACCACACTGCTTCCAGACTCATTTATCCTGTGGAGGAGGAAGAGGAACTAGAGCAAAAGTTGCCTCCCTTGAATGACCTTGGGAGAGTCGCCTCAAGCTCCTCATCTGCAGAATGGGATGACATGCATGGGGGGAGGAGTGTGTTTCAAGACCGCACAGGATATCATCCCTGTGGCCCTGGCGAACAGCCTCCCTGGCTCCCCGCGGAGCTGGCTGTCTTCCCGTCATAAATTAGCACTTGAGCCTCAGGCGGCCTCCCCCGCCCGCAGATTATATATAGTTGTCGCGCCG